GATGATCGCTTCATTGAACCATGGAGTCCCAGGAACCTGGCTTCAGGCAGGGCTGGATCCAGCACTTGAGCCACCTCCTCAGGCCCTGGTCTCTGCACTCCTTTGGTCCTGCTCCCCTGCCTCTGCGCCACCCCCGCTCCCCCCAGCACTGCCTCCAACCCCAAGGAGCAGAGAGCTGCCAGTCAGAGTCCCAGCGCTGGTAGTGATTGGCCAGTCAGGGGTGACCAGTCACTGTAGCCCAGGGCAGCTCACTGGGGGTAGCTGGGGCTCAGTGCTGGAGCCTAGCCCCCCCAAGAGCAAGGCTAGGGAGCACAGCAGGCCTGAGCCACTAAAGGACTTTACCCCACAAATGGTGAAGGGACACTGAGCCGTCCTGCCTGCCGGTCTGCAAGAGACCTCCTCCTACCCTAGGAAGCACCAGGCCTGGGTCTTGCCCCAGCCCCCCAGCCCCCAGGAGGCCCCCCTCACGCCTCTCTGCCCTGCTCCCTGGAAGAGCCCTCTAGAGCAGTCCAGAGAGAGGCAAGTGCTGCCAGTAGTAAGACGTTCCAGAAGGCGCAGATATGCACTCCAGAGCTGGGGGTGCCCATTGTTCAGACAGCAAGACTGAGGTCTGCAAGGGCCTAGGAGGGCCCAGGCAGGACGGAGGAACTCCTGGCCCTTCCTTCTGAGAACGCTCACTTTCTCTAAGATAGGCAGGTGCAGAAGAGAAGATTTCGGGGGCGAGAGCCTCCCACAGAGCTAGGAACCAGCACGGGAGAGAAAAAAGCCCTGGGCCCGCCTCCTCCCTCCCGCACACGTGCGGTTCAGTCCCATCCACGACCAGGACTGACACGCCCTTCTTAGAGGGCCCCCCCTTTCCTGTCCTTCACCTCTGCTCATCCTGGGCCCTTCTCCCATCCCCCACCCACCAAAACCCTTCAGGGCCCTTCCAGGGCCACGTGCTGACCACACCTCGGTGCTGCCCAAGGGGAGCTCTAATTCTGTCCACCTTACAGATGGGGAAACTGAGGTCTGTTCTCCCGGGGAGCATGCTCCAGTCCCCCCACACTGCCCCCTGAGCCCCTGGAGGGCAGCCTGCGGATATGCCTGGAGAAGTACTGGAATGTGGGCAGGGGGAGCAGTCTGGGGCAGGGTCTAGGTCCCGGCCCATGCCAGGCACTGCCCGCCGGGCTCCAGCCGGCTGGCCCTGGCAATGAAGTCTGCTCCACCTCGGCCAGGCCCAGGACACCTGCCAGAAAGCGGGAGGAGACAGGGCTGTGCCACACCCCTCAGGCTGTGGAAGGCACTAGTGACCCCATTTAGCAGATGAAGAGAGCAAGGCTCACCGATGGGGCCAGGGTCCTGGGGCCAGGGAGTGGCAGAGCCAGACTGGCACACCCCCCAACCCCCGGGTCTCTGGGACTGTCCTCTGCTTGCCCACGGGCCCGTCTGGAGGCCAGGTCTGTGCCTCCCCCCTCAGGCTGGGTGGGCGGGCCTGGGGCCAGGCTGTCCCCACAGAGGAGCAGAACCTTCTCTCCTTTCCCCTCATTCCAGGCTATATTTAGAGGCCAAGCAGAGAGCGAGGCACGTGGGGAGTGGGTGCGGGCGCCTGCCAGCCGAAGGGCCGTTCGCCTGTGTGCCCCCCACCCTGCTCAGGGCCAAGGGTCCAGCCATAGGCTCGCCTGGGTTCGGGCCCTGGTCCGCCCCCCCCAGAGCTTCGTTTCCTCCAGTGTGAATGTGGGAGATTACGGCACCCAGGCACCCAGCTCGGCTCAGCAGGGAGGGAGGGAGGACCTGCTGTTACTTGGTGGTGCAGGCAGGGAAACCAAGGCTCAGAGAGGTTCAGCAGCAAACCCAGAGAGGCGGGTGGTGAGGGGAGGTGCCTCTCACAGTGCTCCCACAGCACCACCGGCTCCTCCACCGGGGGAGTCCCATCTTCCAGGCCAAGCGAGGTTAGGCCCCCTGCCCTGGCCAGGGTGGGGGAGGGGGCCAGAGGGAGGGAGCAGGGGTGCTGCGAGCAGGGTGGATGGGGTACTCTGCTGAGGATTGCGCGCCTGACCAGAGCAGACCCGGGAGAAGCCAGCCCAGTGCAGTCTCACGGATTAGCAGATGAGGCAGTGAAGACCACTGGGGAAACTGAGGCCCAGAGAACGCAGGTCCTTCCGGAGGCCATGAGGGGGAGGGAGGAGAACAGAGCCGCTTCTCAGCCCGGAATCCCCCAGTCCAGCTCCTTCCCTGCCCCAGAGAGGGGCGGGTTCAGGAGGCCATACCCCCTGACCCCAGCCCCTGCCCAGAAGGCCAGCCTCCACCGGCCAAGCCTGGGGTCTGGAGCCCCACCATTTGAGCTCCTAGTTATTCAAAGCACAATGAATGGATGCCCTGGATAGGAGTCATTACATAACTACTCAGTTCATGGTCACTGTGAGGGGTGGGGTAGGGGGTGGGGTGCCCTGGGAGTGGGGGAGCAGGTAATGGGGGAGCTCTTCTAATACGGACAAAGACAGCCAGACTCACAGACAGGAAAGGGGCAGAGATGGCGGGTGTAGAAAGTCAGGGATGAGGGCTCAGCGTGTCACCAGTGTCAGAGCTCAGGGTGTGACCAGGATCAGGGCTCAGCGTGTGACCTGGGGGTGCCTAGGTGGCTCAGTTGGTTGAGCGTCCAATTCTTGATTTCAGCTCATGATTCCAGGGCCGTGGGATCGAGCCCTGTGTTAGGCTCCACACTAAGGGTGGAGCCTGCTTATGATTCCCTCTCTCTCCCTCTGCCCCTCTCCCTCACTTGTGCGCTCTCTCTCTCTATATATATGATTTTTTTTTTTTTTAATTAAAAAGAATGTGACCTGAGTCAAGGCTCAGAGTGTGCCTAGGGGCAGGGCTCAGCGTGTGGCCAGGGGCAGGGCTCAGTGTGTGCCCAAGGTCAGGGCTCAGAGTGTGCCACGGGTCAAGGCTCAGCGTGTGGCCAGGGGCAGGGCTCAGGGTGGAATGGGATTGAAGTTAGCTGTGTCATTGAAATCAAGATTTGGTGTGTGACCAGGAACAGAGCTCAGAGGGATCAGGATCAAGGTTCATCATGTTACGGGACCGTGGCTCAGCGTGTCACCGTGTGTGGCTGACATCGGGGCTCAGCTCTGTTTGGGATTGGGGTTCAGACTCCTGGAGCTGGGAATCACAGGGTGCTTTGCAGACGGGTCTCCTCACCTGTCAGCCCCCCCTACTGGCGGCGCCAGGCCCACCGCCCTGGCCTGGACCCTCCGGGCGCGGCACCGAGGAGTTGCTGGCCTGCACGTGAGGCGGGCCCTGGGGAGCTTCCTTCCTGCAGGGCAGGATCCCCGAGGGCAGGGCGGCGGCGGCCTGGGACCATCTCCCAGAGGAAACGTTCCGTAATGTTTATCATTTGTCTCTGCCTGTGACACTGACCCGAACCTAGTGCAGACACACTGGAAACCAAAAGGCATGTGGAAGAGAATCCAAAAAACTGTTGCCACGGTTTTGCCAAGGCTGTTTTCTTCATAGTAGAGAGACAAGCTAGGAGGCGTCCTTCTCTTTCTTGGGGACGTTCTGGGCCCCCAACCCCATGCTCTGGCCTCATGGCCTGCCTTCGCTCCCCGTCACGTCCCCAGAAGGTCTCTCCCTGCCCTAGACGTCCCTCGTGCTCTCCGTGCTCCCCGCCTGCCTGAGTTATCATTCCACCATTCCACAAACACATCCATCAACCCTGCGTTGATGTGGGGGGGGGGGGGCAGGCGTGGCCATGCGCCTGGGCAGCACCAGACTCCTCCCAGAAGCCCGGGGGATTAGCAGATGCCCAGGGTGGGCGTCCCAAAGGCAGAGGCACAGCCGAGTGACCTGAGGCAGGTGCTGAGCTCTCTGAGCCCGAGGACAGAGGTGGCTGCCCCCACCCCCCGCAGGCAGAACTCAGTATCCCCGCCACAGGCTTGAAGCCTCTGCAGTGCGCCTGTCGCCCAAAGCCAGCCAGGCTACCAGAGGGAGTGGGCAGCATCCGGCCTGCTCACAGCAGATGGCCCGCTTCCATTGGCCACCAGGGTGTCTTCCCTCCCCCTTCAGGTGGGGGAGGGCACACTGTGTGCCGGGGTGTCCCACGTCCCCCCCTTCCTCTCCGCTTCTCCCCAAAGCCCTCTCCTTTCTCCTGAAAAAGCCAGAAATGTCCTTATTTGGAGCATCAGCCCAGCCTGGGATGGGGGTGGGGGGCCGTTAACCCTTCGTGTATAAATAGAGATAAATCTCAACAAGTTAAACACGGCCCCACAGGAACATAAACAGAGTGGGCGGCCCCTCACAGCCGCAGGGAGCCCGGAGTTTATTTTACTCACACCCGCTGGATGGCTGGGGAGACCCAGCTCCAGGCTCAGGCCCCAGCGAGTCGCCCTGCGCCAGCCTCCCAGCCTCTGGGACGAAAAGGGTGCTCCCCTCTCAGGGCTGGGAGGGAACTGGGGAGTCCGGGGGGCAGGCCCCTGGCGAGGTTCCATATGAGGACCCCAGCCCTGGGCGGTGACCCCGCTACTAGCCTTGGAAGAGGTGAGACCAGATGGGCGGCTGAGGACCGGGTCTGTGCGGGTGGTGCGGACCCTGTTGGGCAGACCTGTGCCTTATCAGGCGGCAGCAAACACTGTCGATTTTCTAGCACAAACGACGCGCTGGGCACTGCTGTGCTCAGGTAATCCTCCTGGCAGCTCCACAGCCCCAGCCGGACAGGTTAGCATGTGAAGCACCGAGAGGCTAAGTGACTTTCCTGAGGCTGCACCGCAGGGGCTTTTACCTCCGGCTGCATGGAGAAGGAGGCTCAGAACATTAAGACTCTGCCAAAGCCCCCACCCTGGCAGGTGCCCGGGCCACACGGGGTGGAGGACACAGGCCAGGAAAGGGCACAGAGAGAGGTGCACCGAGGACGCCGGTGGGTGGGTGAGCCAAGCGGGGCCGGCCTCCAGGCGGGGCCCCCACTGCCCCAAGGTCACCCACCCACCCGCTTCCTTCCAGGCCCAGGGCGCGCGCTGGCGGCCGCCATGCCCTCCGCGTCCCCCACGGGGTCCTGGGCCCCGGCGGCCCCCAACGCCACGGCGGCGGCGGCCAACGTCAGCGCGCCGGAGAGGCCCCTGTTCCACCTGTTCGCGCAGCTGGACGAGGAGCTGCACGCCGCCTTCCCGCGCCTGTGGCTGGCGCTGATGGCCGTGCACGGCGTCATCTTCCTGGCGGGGCTGGCGCTCAACGGCCTGGCGCTCTACGTCTTCTGCTGCCGCACCCCGGCCAAGACGCCGTCGGTCATCTACACCGTCAACCTGGCGGTGACCGACCTGCTGGTGGGGCTGTCCCTGCCCGCGCGCTTCGCCGTCTTCTACGGCGCGCGCGGCTGCCTGCGGTGCGCCTTCCCGCACGTCTTCGGCTACTTCCTCAACATGCACTGCTCCATCCTCTTCCTCACCTGCATCTGCGTGGACCGCTACCTGGCCATCGTGCGGCCCGAGGGCGCGCGCCGCTGCCGCCGGCCCGCGTGCGCCCGCGCCGTGTGCGCGCTCGTGTGGGCGGCGGCGGGCGCCGTGACGCTGGCCGTGCTGGGCGTGGCGGCGGGCGGCGCGCGCCGCCGCCGCGGCCTCGCGCTCACGGTGCTGGCCTTCCTGCTGCCGCTGGGCGTGCTCAGCGCGTGCACCGGCCGCGTGGTGTGCGCGCTGTCGCGGCCCGGGCTGCTGCGCCAGGGCCGCCGGCGCCGCGTGCGCGCCGTGCAGCTGCTGCTCACCGTGCTCGTCATCTTCCTCGTCTGCTTCACGCCCTTCCACGCCCGCCAGGTGGCCGTGGCGCTGTGGCCCGACGCGCCGAGCCACGCCAGCCTCGTGGCCTACCACGTGGCCGTGACCCTCAGCAGCCTCAACAGCTGCATGGACCCCATCGTCTACTGCTTTGTCACCAGCGGCTTCCGGGCCGCCGTCCGCGGCCTCCTGGGCCGGCGCGGGGCCGAGCGCCCGCCGCGGGGCAGCGACGCGGTGAGCATGCGCAGGAGCTCCCGGGGCTCCGGCGCCTTCCCCCAGGCCCTGCCCAGCGGGCCGGAGGCGTAGACGGCAGGGCCCTGCGGGCGACCGAAGGTCAGGACCGGACCGGGCAGGCCGGGCGAGGCCGGCGGAGACGTCCGTCCGCTCCGCCGGGGGGAGGGGCGCAGGGGTGCGCATCGACGTCGCCCGGATCGATTGCTGATGGCTGCCCGGCGCCCCGCGCGGTGCTGGGGTCGATCGGCGATGTCTGCCTCACCTCCGTACGGGCCGCGGTGGACCCAGCGCTGGCTGCCTGCCCTCCCTGGGGCGTCGGCCGTGTCCGGTGCCCGTAGGCTGCTGCTCTCCGGGTCCACGCTCACCCCGTAGGGGATTCCTCACAACAGGGACCAAGATCTTTGTCGGTTCTAGGAATTGCAGAGAGGCCCCGCTCCCTCTCTTCCCCCCACCCCCATGCTGCCCCCGCCCCCCCAGGGAAAAGAACAGGACAGAAAGGAAAAGTCGGGGGACGCAGAGGTCGCACGAGCAGACAGGAGAGGTCCGTGTCTCTGGATGGCCCCTGCCTGCCATACCCATGAATGACCCAAGTGCTGTGACATCTGGGCTGGTGCCCCCACACCCCACACCCCTCCCCCGCAGAGGAGAGGCTACTTCCGGCCGTCCACAGTCGGGGAGGGGTCAGGCAGCAGGCCCAGGGGCCACGGTGGGGCAGTGGCAGGGCTGGGCCTGAAACCCGGCGCCACCCCTGCAGCGCCCCTGCGCCCGCCCCCTGGAGAGAGCGCACGTCTTCCTAAAGCCCCCACCCCGGGAATGACCGGGAATGACCGCAGAAGCCTTCGCCTGCTGCCCCAGGAGGACAGCAGGGCCCACGGCCCCATCCTATGGGTGAGAAGAACAAGAGCACAGACACACAGCACCTGAAGCCGGTCCTGCCGGCGAGGCTCCCATCTCCCCACTTACACAGCCCTGTGTTCTCGGGGGGCCCTCTGGGGGCAGAGAGCTCTGATCAGCAGCTCTTCCCTGGCTAATCATTTCTCCCCCACCTTTCCTGAGGAGGGGGCATTTCTCCGGCTTGGGCCTCTGATGGCCTCCTCTGAGCTGGACTCTGGAATTGCCTCCACATGGTTCCTGTTGAGCCGCCAAGCTCCCTGGGCCCTTTATCGACTGCTGCAGGGGCCGGGGCCTGTTGGGGGAAGGAGCCCTAGGCATCCTAAGCCCCTCCAGGCATCAGGCCCCCCCTGGACCCTGGCCACAGCCACTGATGCAGGGTGAGATGCAACCTGGGCCGCAGAACTGCACTTCTTTACAGAGAAAAGTCCTACATACTCAGGGGCCTCCGGCCCTGATCCCCCAAGTTCAGGGCCCTGGAGAGAGGCCTGCACGGGAAGCAGGAAGGCCATGTATGTCTCCGTGTTACAGATGAGGAAACTGAGGCTCAAAGAGAGAAGGCCTGGCCAGGGTCACAGAGTGAGTTCCAGGCACTGCAAGGCCAGCACTATGGACAAGGTCCACCCTTAGTGCAGCCCGGTGTGAACGACCCCTCTGACCCCAGGACAGGTCAGCCCCCTGCCTCCCTGCCGGAGGCCCAGGGAGTCCCAGGCTCACTCAGCAGGTGGTGGGGCCGCCCCCTCCCCCCACAGGGCTGCTTCCTGGGCCGGAGGTTTGAGCAGCAGTGGGCGTGGTGGTCAGCATCCTAACCAGCGCCATCCCTGGCTCTGCCTGGGCGCCAGGCACAGTCCAGGGACCTCTCCCCTACTTGGCTCAGAGCAGGGAGCTGGGCTGTGGCTCATTAGGGACCCAGAGCTGCAGGTACAGAGGGACCTGGGAGCCGGCTGTCTGCCAAGAAGCACATGAAGAGCCATGCTGACCGGAGGGTGGGTGTTCAGAGAAGCTCCAACAGGGCTCTGCCCCTCCCCCGCCCCACATCTGGTGCCTGGGCAGGCACACGGTGGCGGAGGGAGGATCAGTGTTTGCCCCAGTGCAGCACCACCTGTGGGCATCCTTCCTGCAGGGTCAGCAGCCCCTGGGTCCCATTCTAATTCATACTAAAGAGTGACTGGCTGACACTAACTGACTGCTGTGCTTGGGGGTGGAGGAGTTGCAATTTTTCTGGAACAAGCCCTTCCTCTAGGAGGAGGGGTCTCTTAAGGTAGGTGACCCAGGCTGAATCTGGGAAAACCCTGCCTCACAGCCATTGTCCCATTATTCGCCGCCATTTATGGATGGAAGTGCCCACGGGCAGCGCCGGGATCCAACCCCAGGAAGGTGCCCAAGCCCCCACCCCTTGTCCCCGTGCCTGGAATCCCAGCCTCCACCCTGGGTTCTCAGGGACACCCAGGGCGCAGGGGCAGCCCTCCACCACTCAAACTTGAGATGGGGACCACCTGTCTTCCGCAGCCGGGGCAGGAATGGGGAGCTGACCTCGCACCTCTGAGAGCCCAGTCTGCTGGCCCCCCCATGCAGAACTCTCTCTAGATGGGCCTCAGTTTCCCCCAGTCTCCACGGCAGCTGGAGGACAGGGGGCTGGGGAGACGGGACCTTGTCTGGGCTGCCACAGCTCTCTCAGAGCCTCGACTCCCCCTCCTGACGTCTGGCTCCCTCCCACTCTGGCCTCCTTGTCAGGAGCGAGGCGCAGGGGTCTCTGGAGGCAGACCCCGCCTGTCCTTGTTCCCACAGGGACCGGGGTGTGAGGTCTCTGCACCCCCTCCCCGTGGCCTGCCTTCCCAGATTTTCAAGAAGCCCGAGTGACATGAGACAGCGTGTGTATTTATATCTGATGTAAACAATCTCCTCGGCGAGAAGTCCTCGTCTCCTGAATTAAACCTGTTTATTCCCCTCATGCCCTCGGCTCAGCGAGCAGGGGGCGGGCAGCGGCTGCCGTGGGCTCTGAGCGGGGCCCGCCTGCGCCCCCGCCCCACTCACGCTCCCGTGGACAGGCTGGCCGTGGTGGTGAGTGCGGGGAGCCCTCCGTCCTGCGGGCAGGTTTGGGGGCCTCGAGCCCTGTGAAGGGAGGGGACCCAGGAGTGCAGGTGGCACAGCTGTGGCTGGGGGTGAGCACAGTAGCTGGGGCGGGGTGCAGACCAGCATGGGGTCCTCGGCCCTTCCTGGTGCCAAAGCTGCCTACCCAGGGGGGCGGAGGATGTGGACAGGGCAGCCAGCACGCCCGACAGCATGCCATCGTACCACCCAGGTGCCTTCTAGGGGGGTGGGGGGAACATGGGGCGCTTGGCAGACAGCTGAGGGTGGGGGGACCACAGCCCTGCCTGAGGGCTTGCAGAGTGCCACCGTCTTATCCTGTTCTCTGAACCTGCCCAGAGGCCTGGGCGTGGCGACTGTCACCCCCAGTGTACAGATGGGGAAACGGAGGCTCTGGACATCCAGTTCCCGCCTCGCACCGCCTCGTCTCTATCCCCCGTCTCTGTCCCCCGCCCGGGGGAGCACTGGATGGGAAGAAGCGTGGCTGGATGGGCTCATCACTCTGCCGTCTGGCACCCTCTGGGGCCGGAGGCGGCTGGAGGTAAATATTAGGGCCTGTTTAGATTAAAGTCCATTAATAGCAGAAAATGTCGCTGCGGCTCCTGCCCCAGCTTCCTGGGGGCCTCTGGTGCCTGGCGCAGGCGTGGAGGGCTCTGAGGGTGATGGATGACCCCCCCCCCCACGCCCTGGATCAGACCCTGCACTCCCGGGCCCCTGCCTTCTCACACCGCCTCCCTCCCTCTGGAGGCAGCACCCCCACACCCCCACACAGGGTCTGTGCTCCCAATTCACAGAGGAGAAAACTGAGGCTTGGAGCTATGATGGAGCTAGCATTCTCCACCCAGTCCTGCCTGGTCCCAGGGCCGAGGCCACCCCCACCCCCTGACCAGGGCAGGAGGCAGGAAAGCTGTGAGCCATGGAGCTGGGTGTCAGGGGCAAGGAGGGTGTGCCCTGCCGCAGGGGGGAAGAGGAGGGCTGGCCAGAAAGTGGACGGGAGGGGGAAGGGGGGCAGGCCAGGGGAAACGGTGCCCCAGCCTCACTCCCGCTGCTGTTTGCGTCGCCACCCTGGCCCCCACTTCTGCGTGACCACCTGCCCCTTGGAGCCTCCCCAGACCTCCCGCTCAGGCCCCTCCTCCTCCGCTGACAGCCCCACCCCCCACCGCTCTCAGGCTCCCTTTCTGTTCATTTTATTATTTTTTAAAAAAATTTTTAACGTTTTATTTATTTCTGAGAGAGAGAGAGAGACAGCGTGAGCAGGGGAGGGTCAGAGAGAGAGGGAGTCACAGAATCTGAAGCAGCCTCCAGGCTCTGAGCATGCGGGGCTCGAACCTACGAACCGCGAGATCATAACCTGAGCCGAAGTCAGACGTTCAACCAACTGAGCCACCCAGGTGCCCCTCCCTTTCTATTCAATGTCTGCCCAGCACCAGCCCGGACCGTCCACCCCTCAGGTCTGCTCCCCTCTGACCCGGGGGCCCTTCCCATCCCTCCCCAGGACAGAGCACATGGCCCAGCCATCACTGACCATCAGGCTTGGCCCCTTGCTGCGCCCTCAGGGACACGGCAGCCCCCCACCCCCACCTGCCCCGTTCCTGGGAGTCTACAGCCTGGTGCTCAGAGTCTCTACCACTCCAAGTGGGACCAGCCAGGCAGGGGCATCCAGGAGGGCTTCCTGGAAGAGGAAGCTCCGGGCCCTTCCCTCCCAATCCTCACCTGGCTCCCCCCTACTGTTGGCTGGGCCTCTGGTCCTGGGAGCTTTTTTTTTTTTTTAATTTTTTTTTTAATGTTTTTATTTATTTCTAGGAGAGAGAGAGAGAGACAGCGTGAGCAGGGGAGGGTCAGAGAGAGAGGGAGTCACAGACTGAAACAGGCTCCAGGCTCTGAGCTGGCAGTCAGCACAGAGCCCGACGCGGGGCCCGAACCCACGAACCGCGAGATCATGACCTAAGAGAAAGTCGGACGCTAAACCGACTAAGCCACCCAGGCGCCCCTCCTGGGAGTTTTTCAAGCATCGAGTGCCCCCGGAGCATCGGCAGGCTGGCAGGGCCCAGGGCGCTTCACCCCCACAGCACAGAAGAGACCGAGGCCCAGTG